TCTAATACTATTCCAAGTCCAAGGGAGACTAACCAATATTCTGGGTGAAAAGTTTTAGGTACAGATGTGGCATAAGAGATTCATCAGAATAAACCTCCTGTGCTGCTAGTTCTTTTTCATCTTTCTCCCCAATGAAAGATATGAGATATTCAGCTGCAGCGCCACAGATTGTGAAGATTGTGAGGATAGTTGTCAAGTTTCATCCGTTATTGACAGTAACTAGTCTTATTTGCCAGGTAATACTCCTGCAAGATTGGATTGAAGAAGAGGTGAGCAATCAATGGAAAGCTCTCAAGGTGTATTGCCAATCAATAGTGAGAGCTCTATTGGATCCGATTACTGAGAAAATGCAGAATCTATCAAAAGCCCTCCAGATGCATCTCAGCCATGGAGCAGAAACGCGTCAGCTAGAGACCGAACTGCTGGGTAAACTTGCCTTATTCTCTGCCACATTTCTTCTACTGGATACAGAAGTAAGTTCCAAATATGATAAAAGAGGGTTCAAAACACAGTTATTGTTGCGTATTGGCCTTGAGCTACTAAAACTTTCAAAGCTTTGGAGTCAGCTCAAACTTCTTCGTGCAAGGTGCAGCTATGTGACAAATTTAACATCAAACTTCACCTTCTTTATTCTAGCAATTGTTTTTGCAAAATTTTATGATAATTCCTTGAGGATCCTCGGTTCCATGTTGTTCATTGCAATTTATTTACTATGTCTGTTGGTGGTATTACGACCACGAACAGATTTTGGATTGTTTAGTTTCATCATGGGAGTCATTGGATCCATTACTTATAACCACTTCAAATTCACGTCTCCCACATGGATAATTGCCTTCATCTGTTTTGTATTGTTCAGTTTCAAGAGCTGGTTAGATATGTACTGGTTTGATTTGAAAGAAAATCAATTACTAACCTCTACAAATACCACAACTGGAAGCACCAGCATGTTTTTGATTCTATCATCAACAATTGTAAATTTCGTAGGATCCATCTTTTCGTATTATGTTGTTGAATCTCCCTTGTCTGATTATAAAGTATGGTTAGCTAGGGCAATCAATAGCGTGATGTGGAATGTCCGCTTCTATAAGTTCTATCCCAAAGATACCTCACTACCCTCTACAAATACCAAAGGAGTCGGTGATTTGATTTTGACCATTGCAAATGTTGCACAGGGCATTTTCGTGTTTGGTCTTTTCACATTTTCTGTGGCAGATTATAAAGATTGGTTATTTGCAGCAATCAGTTATGTGACTTTTTGTTTCTGGTTACGAAGCCTTTTCTCCAAAGATCTATCTTTGCCCTCTACAAATGCTAAAAGTATCACAAGTGTGATTTTGTCTTTGTTATCTATTGCCAAATACAGTATTATGGTGTTAGCTGGTTTGGAACCCCGCTTGTACTACAGAGATTGGTTGATTGTGATAACTTGTTTTGTACTGTGGTGGGTTCGGTTACGTACATCCTTTCCCAAAGGCCTATTACCATTGTCCACTGCAATTGAATTTAAAGCTACGCAATGGTGGGCAATGATGATAAATACCCTAGTTTCAGAGATCATATATTGGATAATGACTATCTGCAACATGCATTAACAAGGATGCTTAGTAAGTACTTGGATGCTTAGTAAGTACTTGGATACTTGAAAGTTTTTATATTAATTCTTGTATTATTCTCTTTTTCAAGTATATGTTTACCAAAAAAGTGAAGTATATTGATGGAGGGTGAGTCCACTTTAGTCGGTCTTTAATGGGCACAGATGTAGACCTGCTAGCGTGATTTTCTTAGGACGTGTTTGTGGTTGTGAAACTTTTTTTCCTAAATTTTTTTAAATTTTTTTATAAAATTATTTATATATTTTTATGCATTAATATTCCAGCCAACAAAAAAGATAAAAGTGATAGTTTAAATATTTATTTTTTTGGGTATAATTCTCAATTCATAAAGTTTTATTCCCACCAATTTTAAAAGAAAAATTTTTTTTATAACTTTTCTTATATTATATTCACTTAATAGTTTTTTTTATTAATTTTCTTTATATCAGTTTATTATCAAACATAACAAAATTGATAACTCAATAAAACTTCATTATAAAACTTAAAAAACCATATTTATTTGAGTTAAAAGATGAAATTTAGATTAAACACATATCTCAGGTATATATAGGATGTATAATAATAATGGAATCATTTAAAAAAAATTGAATGTACGTGAATATAACAAACAAATATTGAATGAGTGCTCTTAATTAAAATTATCTAAAAAATAATTAGACTGAAAATATATAAATGGTTTAGAGATATTTTGACAATAAAATACGGGAATGACTTTTCATAAATTTGATTTTTTTTTCATTGACACTTTATTATGAAGTTTATAATTTATGGGTTGCTATTGGGATATTCTCTGTTCTGACCTCTTTGGCAGGCTAGGAGTAGGAGTGCCCTTATGCGGTGGCTGTTATATATGGAAGTCTCTATTCAACTCCCACCCAAATAAGTTGTTTACTTTGTCATGTTATGATAAAGCCATCTACCTATATTTGCAAATGAACTTGGCTTCATGGTGAGAAAGGAAAGTGAGCTAAGTAACCTTCAAATACCAATAATAATCCAAGTCCACAAAAACCGTTTACAAGTAAATATCCAATGATCTTTCTAAAATTATGTCAAAGATATCCAATTTAATTATAAAAATACATGAAAAAATATTCAATAAATTAATAAGTTAGGACCCTTTGGCACCATTTTGAACGAGAATTATAGGATTTAATTTAACCAACTGCATGAAAATGGAGGGTAGAGGAGGCTGTAGGGTTTGCAGTTTTAGTCTCTAGTATTAGAGAAAACCTGTAAATAAATATATAAATTATATCATTTTTTTATTAATTTAAGGATATAA